TTTTTTTTTTTTTTTTTTGAGACAAGCTCTCCCCACGCAGTTCAGGCTGGTCTTGAGCTCGCAATGATCCTCTTGCTTCCGCTCCCCAGCGCAGGGATTACAGGCGCGCACCCCTAGGCCCCACCAGGCCCGGCAACTTGAACTTGTTTTCCTTTGTTGTTTCAAGTAACCCTCAGCAGCTAATCAGAGCGAGGGGCAGCGGAGGCGGAGCCAGCCAGCCAGCACCTCCGCCCAGGCGCTTCCGGTGGGGGAGTCACGAGGCAGCGCAAGGCCGCGCGCAGCACCGCGCATGCGCGCCCCGGACGCAGTGGTTTCTGGGAGGGGTCGCCTAGGCTGACTAGAAGGCGCGTACCATGGCAGCACTGGGCGCCACAAGTGCTTTCGCCGGCAGGAGCCGCCCCACAGAGGCCATGGAGTGTGCCGTACCTATGCTGTTGGTGCCAGTGCCCGCTGAGGCGACTGGGCGGCTGGGGCCCCGGGCGCAGCTAAACAGGCAGCAGGAGGCCCTCGGGAGTCTGACGTCCGCGGGCAGCCTTCAAGTGCTTTCCTTGGTGCCGGGCGGTCGGGCCGGGGGCGGCTGCTGTCTCGCGGGCCCTTTCCAGCAGTGAGTGCGGCGGGGAAGCTGGGCGGCGTGGGTGGAGGCCGCGGCTTCAGCCGGGCAGGCAGCACCCTGAGGGATCTCCCCACCGCGCCTCTCCCAGTGTGGAACGGAGGAAGGGGCGACAGGGTCGGGAGACCCTCGCGGGGAGCCCCGAGCCCTGGCCACGCCCACACCGGGTTCGACGGAGCGCGCCCCTCTCCAGCGCCTGCAAAGCCCAATGGTCTTGTTCTTTAGCGCAGATTGTCACCCTGCACGAACTCCCCACTTTTTCTGTTAAAGGTGTCTGCTAGGGAAATCACCTCTAAGTCGTCCTGATTTTCTTTATTCGTGATTTCTGGCTACTAGGAGTAAGAGAAGTCATTCAGTATTATCAAGTATCAACTCCAGGAGGTGGGACAGGAAAGCAATATCATTTCTCTCTGTATGAGAGATTGTGTAGGTATATCAGAATTTACCAGAGGAGATATATACATGATGTAGTGTGGGTATTCATATGCCAGTTTATAAGATTAGAGGCAAGAAGGGCCAACAGGGCAGCCTTTTGATTTTTTAATTTGAATTGAACCAAACTTTTAATTAAAATACCTTATAGTATAGAGATACGTTTACTTCCTACTTTTCTCAAAGTATGTCTTTTATATTGTTGTAGTATCTGCATATTGTGTATTTT